CTTTCCCTGAAAGAAATGTACAAGACATATTGCGAATGAGAAACATAAAACAAAGTTAAACTTTTAAAATAACAAAGAATTCAATTGACCACTTCAATTTTACCACAATCAATCTGTGCTTGTTTTACGAATCTCCATCCTCATCCATCCCCAATGCATGTTTCATGAAGTCTTATAATTTTTGTACATAATTTTTTGCTTATAATTTTATCATAATCTTATTTTAATTGTCATTATTTCTTTTTAATTCTCTTATATAAATTTTATCAAACGAATATTTTATATGAATTTTCCTGAAATCAACAATAATTTATTGATGAAAGATTAAATGCTGAACTTTTATATATATACCACAAAATCTTAAGCATAGATTTTAAAAAACATGTAGAGTCACCGCAAGGTTGAAAAAATATATATATTTTTTCAATGGCCATGCTAAATCCCTTGGAACTCCTTGATCAAAAAATTAATTTTTTGATGTCAAAATTAAATTTAATTAACAAAATCCCTAAATGAGAAGCTCAAATCATTACTCGGCTGAAACAAAAGAACCATCTGACGAATAGGAAATCAAACTTCCACTTGCTTTAAAAATGTAGGCATCAGGGGATCAGGCAGAGCAACAGTGCTAGTGGTGAGCATGGCTAGCAGTGAAGACATGCTTGGTCTCAGAGCTGGATCTTCCTGGATGCACAGCAGTGCAATGTGGATGCATCTCAATGCTTCATTCGAAGAATACCTATCTACTAGGATTTGATCAATGATTTTCAGCGCCATACCTTTATTCCAACAATGCCAAACCTGCTCAAGAATTGATTATTTGGAGTCATCTTCTCAGAATTTCGAAATTTAAATAACAAAAAAATTACTTTAAAGTCCTTACATGGCTAAGTAAGTCTAAGGGAGTCCCTGAAGCAACCACAGTACTATTGCAACAGCCAGCAAGGATCTCGAATACCAGCACACCAAAACTATACACATCGGATTTAGTGGAGAAGTTCCCATGTAAAGCATACTCTGGTGACATGTATCCACTGTAAATGATACCAATAAGAAAACAATATATTAAGCGAGGAGTAGGGATAGCTAACTCAAAATTTGGACAAAGAAGAAATCTACATACAATGTGCCGACAACTTGGCTTGTTATTCCTCTGGTTTGATCCATTTTGAAGAGCTTTGCGATGCCAAAGTCTGAAATTTTCGGTTCCAGGTTGATATCTAGTAAGATATTGCTAGCTTTCAGATCACGATGAATGATTCTGAAACCTGGATTTTCATGGAGATGAAGAAGCCCCCTACCAATGCCTTCAATGATTCTGTACCGTGTTCCCCATTCTAGTTGCTGGCGCCTAACGGAATCTTTTAATTGTCTTTCATAAATCCATCAATACCATGACAAAAGAATTAAAGGAATTATTGAAATCTAAAGATTTCAGAAAATAAGAATACCGGATAAGTACTTGTCAAGGCTTTTGTTAGGCAGGAATTCATAAACAAGCAGCTTCTCCTCGTCTTTCAGGCAACAACCTAACAATTTAACAAGGTTTTTATGCTGAAGCTTAGCCATTAAATCCACCTCATTTCTCAGTTGTTTTAATCCCTGCTTTGATGTTACCGATAGCCTCTTCACTGCTATTTCTAGCCCATCTTCAAGCACACCCTGTTCAGATTGAAGGCAGTAAGCGTAAACTTGTAAGTGTACTCAAACTGCATCAAGAGATTGACTGAATAAAGCAAAGCAAATCGAACAAAGAATTGCACCTTGTAAACAACTCCAAATCCGCCTTCTCCAAGCTTGTTTTCTTCTGAAAAATCCATTGTCGCAATTCTGATTGCATCCAGATCAATTAATGAGGATTCAATATTCGTTAAAGAATCTTGGCTATTCCCTGTAAAACAATGATCTGCTTGATTGAGTAAGAAAATCACATGAAAAAGGTCAAGTTTCTTACTGCTTGCCGATAGTGGAAGGCTTGAGATAATCAATGGCGGTATTGGCAACCTTCTCCTCATCTTTCCCGTAACAATAAGAAGGATTGTAAATAGAATGATCAATGCAAGAGATCCAGAAAGCACTCCCATAAGAATAGTCATGATTGGGCTCTTTTTTCGGCCTACACTCAAGCAAAACTTTATTGATCTATGTCTATAGAAGGACTGCAAGAATAGCTACAACAATAAGATGACACCAAACAAGTAAAGGTAATAGCTAACTAAATGTTTTGTCTGAGATAAATTTAAATCTCCTTTTCTAGTTAAATTAATCATTAAGAAGACAATAAGACACATTTTTGACTGTGAGACTAATCTTGAATTGGTAATTTGAATTGATTGCATAATTAGTGGCTTCATAATAGACATGAGTTAATTAGTGGAACAAATATAGAAGATATGATCATAGCATTAATTTTGAATTAAATATAGGAGATATGGCAATATCATTAATTTTGAATTTGAATCTTAAATTCAAATTCAAAATTCAAATATGTGTAATCAATTCAAATAGGCGCGAATTGATGACACTTAATTTTCTTGCCTTTATTATGTACGTTTCCTGTTTTGTTTCGGTATGTCTTAGTTAGTATAAAATTAGGTGTTGTGTTGCATTGTAAAACACCTAGACTTGTATTTTTTCACTCCTTCAAAATAATAAAAAGAGAATTCTCAAAAGTCCAATCTCATTTTTCGATTTGTCCTTTAGCGATCCAGTAAATTGGAACCAACACAATATTCATAGATTACATAGATTAAGATCTCCTACAAGCAATATTCATGTATAAACTGAAGTTTGAGTATCAGACATAAGATTTGTTTGGTATGCATGCAATTCCTCTCTTTTTTTTGGATTGGCAAACTCTGGATGCATGAAGTTATTAGAATTATATTATTATCATATTAAGTTATCATATGACAACTACTTATACTATTAATTCTTATAATAAATCTTGACCTTATTTATACTAATATCCTAGTTCAATTAAATAATAATTTGAGATTCTTATAGCTTCCAACTGTTTTTTTAGCGTCCTGGTTGAATAATTCCATCGATCTTATAAGGTCTTTACATGCTTGTCAAAAGTTGCCAAAGAACTGAAAAAGAATTCCTACTAGATATCCGAATTCATTTCATGTCAATAATTATCAATAAGATTTTTCAAATTATTTTCTTTAATATTTTTATTTTTTAATGAATTTTCAAATTAACCCACGCTTTTGGCTTAGTTTTGATACAGAGAGATTGTCATGTGGCCATACTTATTTCATATATTAATTACATGCAAAGATACATTGGAATCTCTTCAGCATTGACTGAAAATTCAGATTTTTTTTTCCTTCTATTAACAATGGATATTTTCAAGTTTGCATGGGACTGTGGTTCTTCATGGTTCGATGGGAAATAAGTAACTCATATTAAACTAATTTTAAGCTGAAATCTGATTCAGTCCATATTTGTAAACAAGTTTAGAAATAAAATGACGTGTGAATAATGTTAGTTCATGTTTGTTCTTTAATCAATTAGTCATTTCTTCAAATAAAACAACAACAACAAAAAATACTGTTCGTTCATAATTCTCATCAATTAATAGAGCGACCAAAAAGAAATTAATTTATGTATATCGAAAATATGCCTGTGCAAATCTTGAGATGACACGAAAATCAGGTAAGAAAGGTTCATGTTCGGTCATTCATCACGAAATCGTTGGAACCATGAAACTGATCAAAGGATACCAACAGACTGAGCCAACACCACGTTACCAGGCAATGCTATTTCAGCCAGCATCTATCTATAAAAAACAACATTTGATTGAAGACCATTCTATCAGTCGAAGTTTAATCAGTTAGCTAAGGGATTATCGGCCGACCGAATGAACACCAGGTGTCCCTTATGAATATGAAGCGTCATTAGAAGCAGTTACAGATGTGGAAAGACGCCAACGATGGTTACAACATAATTCATTAAGTTGGGGAGGGCGTGGGACTCCTATTAATCATTTGAAATAACCTTTAGTTAACCATTATACATGTCTTGCTGGTAATATGGACTATGTAAGGACAAAGTTATTTTTTTTTTTTAATTTCGTAAAAAGATACAATATTCGAAATAATATAACATTTAGAGAGAAAAAAGTATCACAAACAATAGAACTAATCGCAAAATAATAGTTTTAAGACTACATATACATCATGAGAGAATTTTTTCCTTGTCCAATTTGAGTAAGACATGATTTATCTTATTAAGAGGCGTCATTTCCTTATAAAACTACCTCTATAGTTAATTACATGTTAAGAGACACATAACTTAATAAACGTTTTGATTAAAATAGTGACTCTAATGCTTCTATGGATTTTTAAAGTTTAGCTTTTAAGATTGATCATTTGGTTATAATTGGGATTGATATAAATTTGAAAATTTTCTTTTTTTAAGCCAATTGAGAGATCATAGGGAGCACTGTATCCGAGAGACTTAGTGGTGCTCCAAATTATCCTATAATGTTACTTTATATTTTTAGATTGAGATTTAATTTTAATTTTTAGTTGATCATTTAATTAGAAATTTGAGATTTATAGCTCTATAACACAATATTGATAATAAGACCAAATTAATGAGATTTAAACTTTGGCCCTAACGAGCACTCCCCCGTCTTATTTGTTCCACTTTTTTTGGAATTAGAATAACTAGGGACCACTAGTTTCCTCTTCACATATCCTTAAACCAAGTAAAACAATCAAATTATGCTTTTAAGAAAAAATTTAATAACCTAACTCATGTTGTCAGAGGTATCATCCACTTTGTCCTGGCCATCACATACCATTTCATCCTCATGGTTTTAGCATTCTTAGTGTAACTTATTAGGAGATTACCCATCTTAGTAATGCAATTTTTTACGAAGTTAATTGCAAAATTTTTAAAAAGCTCACTCATTATGCCAAAAGTCAGTATAAGATTAATATAATAAGTTTATATTTATAATAGCCTAATTCTTATCATCCATTTATCCATAAGATTCCTTAAATATATAATAATTTTAGCGAAATCATTCTTATTATTCTTTAGACTCTTTCTCTCAGACATCTAAGACAAAAAAAAAATTATTTATGATTAGCTTTGCAATCAATACATGCTTCTTGAAAATGTATGTGCCGATTAAGTCTCCTCAATAAGAAACATAGAATTTCATACTAGAATCTACAATCCTAAACTATGTAAAAACCACAAGGATTCCACATCCCTTTATTTATTGCTCTCCTTAAGTAGTAATACAATTATTCTACCAAGAAATGTGTGGTAACATAATCATTCAACTTTTTAATTTCAAGGTCTCTAGATCATGATAAATTTTAACTATCAAATGATAAATTTGATAATAAATGAAATGTAGAAAGTTAACACATCAACTAAATCTCATGAAATTCAGAACATAAATTAGATTAACTTAAAAAACTTAATTCAAACACCAATTAAACAAAATTAGTTGCAATCCATTTACACAAACACAAAAGCAAACAACTTTATAACAAAGTATAGAAGAAAAGGGAAAAGAAAGACACCCGAACTATGCTTCACATAAGATCTCTTGCTCCATTGATTAATTTCTTCCAAAGTGCTCCTCACTCATCTTCTTACATTCCAACACTCCACACTCTTACCACACACTCACACATGCTCTCACAGTTTGGCAACAGTCTCCTAAAACCCTTACAACACATCATCACAAAACGTTTCTTCCCTCAATCCATGTCAATATTGTGAGTGTTAAATGAAAAGCGCATATGGTCATTTCGTGTTTATATGGCAGTGCCACATAACACATAGGCTCTCCCTTATAGAGTTGTAGCGCTTGTTTTGAAGTTATAGCACAATCTTCTTTAGATGTGGATGGTGTTCGTTAGTATCAATTTTTAATGTCACAAGTGGGGTGTCTGTTTAACTGACTTGAGATGATTTATTGTTCACTCATAGAGTTCTGTAGGCCAAGACTCCCATTTGTGACGTCCTGCTACGTGTTCGGTCACAAAACCAAAGTCTGTGATGACTCAGCCTTGCCCGAGAGAGTCCTCTGTTTGGTGGCGTCAGTTATGATATGGGATGTCTCTGGTATCCGTTCTAATGTATGAAGACCTTACTCCGACTATTCAGAGCATCCTATGGTCAAAGGAATCCGTCGAATATTCTCGTGGGTATTTTCGAAAATATTAGGGTTTAAATGTCATACTTGTGCGACATTTCAGAGAGACCATCGACAACAAATTTCTCAATGAACGACCGATAAAAACATTCATTTATGGAGTTATGGGGCCATATTTTAGTCACACTTGATCCCCCATAGCTTATAGATCGTCAAAATCCTTCGCCAAACCCTCAAGATAAAAATTGAGTTTTTTCAGTCAGAACTGTCGCTTATGTGCTAACCCCTTGGAGCATAGGCACCGGTCCCGACACCTAGGAGCTAGTCTAGGGAGCTATCCCCTTGGAGCTTCAAAATAGAGCCAACAGAAAATATGCGACACTCAAAAGCCAGTCCAAATTTTAGACCGGATTTTATCTCGCGAATTTCTTGATTTTGACACCGAACCCAGCCCTACGGCAACAAATATTGTAGGTTTCTTGTTCTTCAAGGAGATTTACACAGTGAGAGGCAAAAAGGATGAATGGAATACTCTATTATCTTCTTGGGGAAGGTTTTAGAAAGGCGAGAACACCATTTTTGAAGGGGGCTGGTGCAAAAGGCTTTTGGATCTCCCTTGGCTTCTCCTAGACACAACTCTTCAGTATTTTATTCTTTTTGGTGCTGAAACCATCTTCTTCCTTAGAGAGCTTAGAGCTTATTCTTTCTTGGAGCTAGGTATTTCTTTTGGAGGCCTTGATATAAAAAGCTTGGAAGAGAGATAAGAGGGAGGGCTTTACTTCCTACAGCCCTCTTACTCTTTTTCTTCCTCTTCTTCTTCATTTTCCACCAAGAAAATCTTATCTCCTCCTTAATTTCTTTCTTCCCCCACCATTCTTCGAGTGAATGTGAGGAGCTTTGCTTGGAGGAGTTGTGCTAAGAAAAACGTGTATGAGATTTCACTAGACGCATGCCCATACTTAATTAGAACTGTCACAACACTTAAAAAAAAATTTCAAACAAATCAAAATAAATATTTCAGAGGCTTTTATTTTATTCAAAGTTGTGATTTTAACACACCTTCTCGTATAGTTAGTGGATGTAAGCACTAGAATTCTCCAGAGTTGAATTTGGAGCCACGGTTGCATGTTTGGAACCCATGAATTGTGCTACGATTTCCTAAGTTATTCGCCTGCATAGTTGTAGATATAGTTTTTTTTTTAAGAAGCTCTGATATTCATTTTTTTATCTCTTTCACACCGCATTTCTACTGGGCTATCGTTATCATTTATAGTGCCTCCATTTATAGAATCACTGTAAGGTTTGCTGACTCTTTTTTTTTTTTTTTTTTTTTTTTTTTTTTGACAAATTTCAATGATGGTTGAGAAGTTTCAGACACAACGACGGTCTGTTTTTAAGGATGGTTGAGATGCAATGAGCCTTAGTAACATGTGTCGTGTCAACGATATGTCATTTTTATCATGCTTATTTGTTTTGATCATTGAAGTCCTTTTCATAAATAATTTTGATCCTCCGGGCGTGGTTTGGAACCATTTAAAGTAACGTCAAGGCATTTCATGTTTAATCTTGTAATTTCATATTCATCATTCACCATGTGAGTCACAACTAATCGATTCACATATGTGAAGGTTAACAGTCTGACATGTTGCAAAATTCCTTATTGTATAGAAGGATTCTAAGAGCACCTTTGAAGTGCACCGCCATTGTAGAGAGTTCCTCGATATGAGTTCATATTCCATACACGTACGTGTTAGTAGAACATTCTCATCAAACTTGATAAAAACTACTTGGCTATACCGCCAAACTCGACAAATTGCTCTATGAGGCAGAGAGAATAGAAGTTCTTGTGAGACTAATCTTGAATTGGTAATTTGAATTGATTGCATAATTAGTGGCTTCATAATAGGCATGAGTTAATTAGTGGAACAAATATAGAAGATATGATCATAGCATTAATTTTGAATTAAATATAGGAGATATGGCAATATCATTAATTTTGAATTTGAATCTTAAATTCAAATTCAAATTCAAAATTCAAATATGTGTAATCAATTCAAATAGGCGCGAATTGATGACACTTAATTTTCTTGCCTTTATTATGTACGTTTCCTGTTTTGTTTCGGTATGTCTTAGTTAGTATAAAATTAGGTGTTGTGTTGCATTGTAAAACACCTAGACTTGTATTTTTTCACTCCTTCAAAATAATAAAAAGTGAATTCCCAAAAGTCCAATCTCATTTTTCGATTTGTCCTTTAGCGATCCAGTAAATTGGAACCAACATTGACGCACCTCTGCTTAGGCTGGTAGCGTTCCAGTCATGAAGACTAGAACCAATAAAGCCCTTCCCCTCATCCGACGACATAGACGCAGGCGGAGGCGAAGCCAATATTGGCATAGAATAGAATTGCAGAGTGGAAAACCTAACCATGCAGCTCACCATTACCGTCTGGCCTCCAGTCGTTCCCGTGTGCAGCGAAAGCAAAGCCATATTCAGGCACTGCAAGCAGTCGCTGCTCTGAAGGTCCATCGTGCACCAAGCCATCCGATACATATTCGTTTCAGAACCCCAGTTATTCACAGCCGCAACCGCGTACCTAAACTCAGACTTGGCGGCCGCCGGCAAGATCTCTTTCATTAGGTCTTGGACTCTGTTGTCAAACACCGACGCGATCCCTACATTATAGAAGGTGGCGACCATTGTCATTTCAGGGATCCCGAAGAATCGATCATCGGAGTAGCGGAGGAAGCAATAGTCGTATCGTAATGCGGCTGAGCTGTTTCGGCCGCAGCCACCAAGTTGATCTTTGCCAGCCATGGCAGCGGCGTGACGGAGACAGCTGCCACATATTGTGGGGGAGGAGTCGATGTGACACTGCGCGAGACCAAAGACTTGGATAGATGCAGGGCTTCCGACGGTGTATGTTGAAAAGAAAGACGGAGAATTGGCAGTGGCGTTGGTGAGGTTGGAAAGGAGATGACGGAGGTTGGTCTCCAAGGAACTTAGGGATGTGTAGTTGTCGCCGGAGCAGTAGCTGAGGTTGGGTCTGCTTTGGGAATACGTTTCGCCGGCAAAGAAGAGAATAATGTAAAAGGAGACGAGGAGGAGGAGGAGCGAGCAGGGAAAGGTCTCGTTCATTTCTCTGTTGAGATTGAGAAGTATGAAATAACGGTTATTTGCACAATAGAAATAGTATGGAAATTAAAGATAACTGACTTTTAAAGGTACTGCAACAAAAATAAAAGAGCAAGAGCCGCGTCAAATTAAGCTGACGAACAGAGCTGTAAGATTCATTTCCTGACTTCATTTGAATAGAAAGACAGAGATTTTACAGATAGAATAGAATGTTTAGGCCAATTTTTCGTTTAAACCTGTTTGACGAGGATTATTAATGAAGATGTTTGACATGGCAGCACCACTGCGCCAAATTAAGCATTTGGGCTACTTTGTTGTAACTTTAATAACCGGGCCGGCAAGAATAGGTGGCTCCGTTGAAAGCTGAACAAATCATATGCATCTTAATATTCAGTGCAGCTTATAAACTTGAAAAGAGTAATAGTGAAACAATTAGAGTGAGACAAATAATAATTAAGTATATAGACATGTACTATTATGGGCGCACCTTGTTTTTATTAAGGTGGGGCCCACACTTCTTGAGATGTACCCACCATCAGTAGAAATTATTCCGTACAGACATCATAATTATCCGATCTACACCGTCGATCACCGCAATCAAAATTTAAAAAAAAAAAAGAAAAAATAGAGCCCCACCGAAATACATTTTTGCGGTGATCGACGATGGAGACCGGACACCGCATGCATCTCTGCATGCGGTGTCCGTATAGAATAATTTTTCCACTTGTGAGGACACTACCAAGGGAAAATCCAAGAAAGGTGCTTCACATTCAGGTAAACTAATTTAGGCTTTGTTTGGCGCAGCTGCAGCTTCTCAGCTTTTCAGTTACAGCTGTGCTGCCCCAGGAAGCAGCTGAGGGAAGTTGACTGTCTGTTTGGTGCAACTGTGTGAAACCAGCTCTGTTTGGTAAAACTGTTTAAAAGAAGAGTATAACAATCATATTTTTGGAACTTCAGTAGGCCCCCAAAGTGTTAACAACTTCTGTGTAAGAATAAGAACGCATATGGAACACAATTTTATGTATTTACATATCTAACACATATAGAACACAATTTTATGTATATATCTAATCAAGGGGCTCATAACACATATGGAACACAATTTTATGAATTTATCTTGCCTATCAGCATAAAGTAAAGACAACTGCATATATAACACTTAAACATTGCTACTTACAAGATTAGCACTGCAATGAATAGATTTAACCATAGGAAATATCATAGGAAATATGATGTTTTAAAAAAATTAAGGGCCTCTTACATATGCATATTACACATTTCTTATATATTTACATATCTAACACCTAAACATTCATATTTGCATGCATACCACACAAATCTTTAACATCATATCAAAATCACTGCCAAAGATTTATGTGGTATGCAAGCAAACATGATTGTTTAGGTGTTAGATTTGTAAATATATAAGAATTGTGTAATATGCATATGTATTTACCCCTTAATCAAATTAATTAATAGATCTTAAAGATCCAAAATCCAAAATTCGCCATCGAACCACATTCCAGTCGCCATAGGGAAGCATTTAAACCTTAACCATGCAGTAAGCCAAGCATAGTTCATAAATTCCTGAACATTTCTACTTACTCATTACTCCACTAGGCCCGAAATTGAACAAAATAAAACAGAGAAGAAACTATGATAAAACCTATAAATTTGAATACAGAAACAACCAATGTAGAAGTAGCATAATGATAAACCACAATGCTAGAAACAGTTGCAAAGGATTGATTAAAAGAAGGGGTATTCACATCCACACCACTCAATCCTTATGTACTTACATATCTAACACAAATTTACTTTTTACATTTATATCACCCAAATTTTTCACATCACATAAAAAATACCACCATTTAACTTTTAAAATGTGAAATACACCTTTCTATGTAAAAGGCAGTGTGCAGTCATCAAGTCGTTTCAGCGAAATTGCCCATTCTCAATACTCATGTTGGGAGAAGCAAAAGGCAATCCCCCAACACAAAAATCTAACTACTTTCAGCATTATCATTGGTGCTAAAAAAATATTGCAAGATATCGCAGTATCAAAAAAAGTAGCTCAATGGTTTTCATATAGTTCCCAGGTCTAAAACTAAAAAAAAAAGCAACGGAATAGGTAAATATGAAGTTGAATAAAAATCAGTGTAGCAATATTTTTATTAATATTCAACTAATAAATTATCAAATTCTTCATTCATAGACATACCATCTCATCAGTAATTCGTTCCCTCAGCTCTGCCATCTTGCTTGCACCTTCCCCATCTACTGTGAAGGCAATGGAAGTCTCGGTCTCTTCTTCTGTGAAAGACTGACCTAGCTGGTATTCAAATGCTTCCGAATGCACATTTTCTTCATCCTCTTCCGTCAAATGGAAGTCTATATCGCTACGGGAATGATGTCTTCTTATGTAATTATGAAGAGTCAGTGTAAGAAAGATAATATGTACCTGCTTCGAAAAATTGTAGGGAGGCATATCAAGGAGTATCACCCATTTCTTTTTCCAGACACCAAAAGTCCTCTCAATTACACCATGTAGAGATGAATGTCATTTATTAAACATTTACTTTCTTCCTTGTGTGACGTTACATACACGTGCGAAGTTTGGTATGTGATATCTCGGATCAGGAAACGACTTTAAATACCTTCGTTGCAATGGGTAACCAACATCAACCAAGTAATATTTGTCTAATAAATATAACAATTAGTATGGGAATTCAAATTATTTTTTGGGATCCAAAGTAATAATTGCCTAATAAATTGAACAATTCATATGAGTTCAAATCTCGAGCGTACCTGAAGGTGGATGTGGAAAGTTGCTATTGGGATCCCGTGTCGCAGATTTTAAAACTCAAATCCCGAGCGTACCTGAAGGTGGATGTGGAAAGTTGCTATTGGGATCCCGTGTCGCAGATTTTAAAACTCGACTGTCATGTGCGCTACCCTCCCAGCCAGCCATAACAAAAGTGAAACACATGTTAAAGTCGCAGACGGCCATGACATTTTGGGTAGGGCTACCACAACGACTGATAAATGTCACCAGATCACTATTTGGGATATGTGCGTCAACATGTGTTCCATCAATCACGCTAATGCAGTCTTGATGAGTAAATGTTAGGTTTGACATATCATTGCTTACGCTTAAAAAATTAACTATAATGCATCCGAGAGAATACCTTAAAAAAGGGCATATATCGTGAATCATTTGCTATCCTAGCGGGTATCTGCTCAAACTTATAATCTAAGGTTCTGATGACATGAGAGGACAAGCTAACAAGTGTGTTCAATCCGATTGAGAAATATCTGCTTATTGTTTCTGATGTGTGTTGAAATTGCTCTATTGCTTCTCGCATAGACTCATTTTGAGATAATATGAACAATGTTATTGCGAGCACCTCACGTGGATTGGTCCTCGAAGATTCATGAAGACTGTGAGATCCTACGAGTAAGTCCAGAAGATCGATAAATATTGTCTGACTCATTCAAAAAATATTAAAAAATCATGTTGGGTGCCCCGCAAGCAACTCTCCAACCTATTTGTCGCCAATATAAGAAGATATCATGCATGGCGACCGATCAATGTACGCGTTATAGACATATTGCCGTCAGAAACATCCCTCTCCGCTTTCTTCTGCGTGTATCCATGTGGGCATCCATCCGTCTTCTTCTATTTGCATCCATAGTGATGGGTATCCCTAAATGTTTCTCCTAAACAATTATAATTTATATGAGAGTTTGTGACAATAGAAAAAAAAGAAATATTTGCAAATAATTATGAAGGTACAAGAGAGTTCACAAGCACAACTCTAGAAAGAAAAAAATAGATAATTCAGTGCAAATGTTCTAGTGATGAAAAATATAAAAAATATCAATTGTTCAAACGATTATAGAAAAGTCGAATATATGTCACTCTGCGGGTGACAGGCATCTGCACAAAGAAATCCCTACAGACTGAGTCCTCTAGCAATTCTGCTGCGAACAGATACAACTCTTCATCTGCATAAATTTCGGCTGTAGCACTTATGATTTCAAGTGCCTCCGTGATTGTGCTTGAATGAGAAGCCTGAAATTCTGCTTTGAAACAAGAAACCGCCTCAGATAGCTCGTTTCTGAGGGAAGAAGCACCAGGTTTTCTTTTATCAACAACCCTCAGACGTTTGGAACGGGCAATTGTTTCATTTTTGTTCTAATATGGGCTAGGGACGTCAATGAAATCAACTGAAACTCCAAGGGTTCCCAAATTCACGGCATTACCAGTGAACCCTGTCTCGCTTGGGCTACATGCATAGTTCCTCGTTGCAACCACTCCCCCAAACATGCGGTCTAGGGTTTAGGGTTTCTCCTCCAATTCAAGCTCAATTCCAGAAAGCTTAAACTTTTTTTGTAGTAGGCACCACCTACACAAAAATTGATATACACCCAATTAGAACAAAATAGAATGTTACAAAATAAAGAAGTTTACAAACAAAGCTCACCGCAAGTCTTTCAACTCATCATTCCTTAAATGCATCAACTGTTCGCTTCACTGATCCCAACCAAGACCGGTAGCACCCCTTTTCAATTCCTTTCAAATTTTCCATTCCTTCTTCATTTGGTCTCACTTGTTCTTCATTTGCAACCTGTCATATTCTCTACCTGTATATTCCTTGAATTTTCTTATAAAATTTTGCCACCCTTCTTTATTGAAATGGGTCGTTGGCCTATTTCCCCGTTCAACTGTTTGCTTCACTGGCTATCAAATTTGAAGGCGTTCAATTGTTCACTTCATTTGCAACCTATATCAACTGTTCGCTTCACTGGCTGCCAAATTCGAAGAATCTCAGGCTCAAATAGAAGAAGAAGAATAAGATCCAAACTTCTACAGGAAGCAAGTGGTGTACCAAATATTGATATAATTTAACTTTCAAACCAAATATTAAAACAAAATATTGTCTAGCAAAAAGGACAAGAAATAATTATGTGGTTCAATAAATGACATATATCCACAAAAGGAAAGCCATGAATGTTATATAACACTATAACAGGAACCAAAAACAGAAACTACAGGTAATCAATTGTTGAAGGTAATCAAACTGCAACTAATACAATTGCTGCAACGTTACATATGAATGGACTGCTGCATCAAATACAAGCCACGGATGTGTCAGGTTATAAGATGCTACAACGGGAAAGCTAATTCCATGTAGCAAATCAAACTGCTGAAGCTAATCAAACTGCAGCTAGTTAAACTGCTGCCAATCGAAAGGAACAACTAATCAAACTGCAGCTAATATAGAAACTACTGCAATTTGCATCACAGAAACTGCTGCAAATTTGATCACAAAAATTGCAGCTAAACAGTAACTGCAGCTAATACCTTTGTCAATATGCTTCAAACCTACATCGAATTCCATCAAAAACTGCACCAAAGTCCATCACAAAAACTACAGCTAAACACCGTGTTCCAAATTTCAGCAAATCAAATTGATTAATATGTTTAGAAATGCATTTAGACATGAATATGTTTAGAAATGCATTTAGACATGTTTAGAAACATTAGATAGCCTGCACTTCCTTTCCCATTGCCACTACCTATACTAATGATAAATGGATGCTTCTTTTATCAGAGAGCAACAGAACCTCTTTCATTCAGTGGGAAAACCCAACTAACATACATTTCAACAAGTATAAAACTATAGGGAAGTGCTTAGATAAACTTTAATTTGTACCCAAATAATTTTTGTTGTCATAGGCTTCACTTCCCCTCAAGCTTATTCATTCACCAGTATACTACAGAATCTCATAAGTTTCATACTATGAAAAGATTTTTTCCCCTGTTTAATGTTTGAAGATGATAAAGAAAATTTCTTGCTTGGACCTCCATAATGAAAACATTCCCATGCAAACTAATGAAAAAAATTTCATCAATTTAGGCAAAAATGATGATGTGAAATATCAGACTAAAGAAAAGGAAACATTTTTAAGGATCACTACTCATACTACTTATCTCAACTAGGCTATGCCCAAAAACCAGTAAAGTACTCATATATCTTAGCAAAAATTAAGAAAAAAATTATTGCTTGCATCTCCACTTCCCAAAAAAACCTCCAGAGAAAAGGAAACTTACCAAGGATCGCAGCTAGTGAAATCGAAAGGATACCTTACGATCAGGAAAGAAAATTAAAGGAAGAAGGTTTGATCTCCTATAGGGTAACGAACCAAAAAGGATTCCAGCAAGCGAGAAGGCGAGGGAGATAAGGGGTACCTCTGGAATTCTTAGGGCAATGAGGGACGCGGGGCTATACCCGTGTCAAAGCCATATAAGGATTTATCAGACGCGGACGAGATGCGACAGATATAAGCTCCGCAAATGTGATTAATAAACATGGCAGCGACATTTTGAAAATGTCGTCGCACCCCAATAAGCTTCCTAAAATGGGCCCTAGGTCAAGTGTATAATCCTCAATCAAACTCTGCTCTACGGGACTAATTTCACAACATTTTTGAGATTCACTTCTACAAATTAGGTCCACTAAATCCAACCTATAACATGAATCCTCATTAAAATCATAAGATAATTTCATATATTTTAATACATTAAAAGTAATCTCCTCATCATTCACCCTTATAGTCAAGTCTCCCTTTTGCACATCAATCATCACCCTCTAAGTGGCTAAGCATAGTCTATCTAAGATGAAGTGTTCTCTTTATCTTCCTTCATTTCTAATACAATGAAATTAACATGGAAGATAAACTTATCCATCTTAACTAAAGGTCTGTTTAGGGCAGTTGCAGCTTATTGAATAATCTGCTGATAAGCTGATTAAAAAAAATCTGCTAATAAGCTAAGTGTAGTACCTATTAAAATTTGTTATCTTTTTGGAAAAGTGAGACCACTACCAGAAAGCTGTCACAGCACCTATCTACACCGCACCTAGATAGGTGCACTGTGAAAACATTGTTTTCAGCATTTTTAAAATGCATGAGCTGTCAAAATGCAGTTTACCTAAACAGGACAGGTGCATTTTCAAAACGCCATTGCACCAAATAAGCTGCCCCAAACGGTCCGTAAGACATCCTCTATAACCCCTTTAGGTAACTAATAGATCAATCAGCAAGTTTAAAGGTCACCGTAGTAGGAAACACTTCCCCTAGTTCTAATATCATAAAAATAGATAATGACATGAGGTTAATACTAGCACTTATGTCGCACAACCTTCCCAAATAACCTTTCACCAATTGCACAAGGAATGATAAAGCTACCAGGGTATTTAACTTTTTAAGGGAGCTTTTTTTTTATGAAAGCACTGCACTACTCAGTAAGTGCTACTGTCTTAAAATCACGAAATTTCCTCTTCTTATCTTGAATACCCTTCATGAACTTCACATAACTGAACACTTGTTTCAATGCCTCAACAAAATAGATATTAATTGTCAACTTCTTAAATATTTTCAAAATAAAGAAAATAATTTATCCAATTTTCGTTTCTAGAGTCTCTGTAGAAATGGTGGGGGTGGTCTTTCCATGTTATTCTTAGTGGGCGTGTCTGGTCTTCCTAAATCTTTAAAAGAGTCTTCTATAGATCTTTTTGGCTCATGGTTCCCGTCTACCACCTCTGGCTCTTTTCTATTCACTTCTTCCAACTCTCTTCCACTTCTCAACTTAATGGCTTTGACATGTTCATTAATCTTCTCCTTTGAATTAACTTTAGTGTTACTTGGAAGAGTTTCTTGGGGTCAATTACTAATAGAGTTCACTATTTTTCTCAGTTAGTTTTCTTTATTCCGGATAGCTGCACCTTGACTTTGCAGTTGTCTCCCCATCTAAAATACAACTTCCTCAAATGACAACTTTTTTTTTATAAATTATTGGTTTGCATTAAAGTCGGGTTAATAAAAAGGTCTCAAGTTGGCCCACCTTGATTATTTGGATTTCCAAAAGGATTATATTGATTATTTACCCATTAATGATTTTCTGCACATTGATTACTATTTCACTAAAATTTGGGAAATTCTTCCAACTAGGATTATAAAAATTGGAATACAGGTTGTTCGCCCTATTATTGATAGTATTCAAGGTCTTGAGAGATGAAGCATTCACATTAGCCAATAGTCCAAATAAATTATCCTCTATTACTGGTGGTCCTTGTGGTTGGTTTATCCCCAACTGATCAAGCTTCCTAGATATAACAGCAACTTGAGAAGTCAGATTTAACAAAACAACTGTGTCATGTACACTGGATACCTTTCTAGTGTTCACTCTATTAGAAGGCCAATAAAAATTATTGGTTGTTAACTTTTCAATTAAAAATAGGCCTCATCAAAGGGTTTCAACATATGCAAACCACCTGCGGCAGCGTCTATAATCAACCTAAGAGATCCTGCTAACTCGTTATAAAATGTTTGAATTATCAATTAATCAGGCAACATAAGGTGGGGGCACTTCCTAAGAATTTTCTTGAATCTTTCCCAAGCTTCATAGATAGATTCACCTTCATGTTGGCAAAAGAGGTTATATCTTTCCTAAATTTGATAGTTTTCGAAGGTGGAAAATACTTTGCTAAGAATTTCTAAGCTAATTCACTCATGTCCTAATTGATTGTGGGGCTAGCAAATTTAATCATATTTTAGTTTTATCCCTCAAAGAGAAAGGAAAAAACCTTAATCTCACAGTATCTTTGGAGACACCATTATAGCAAAATGTGGCGCAAACTTCTGAAAAACTCGCTAAGTGTAAGTTTGGACTTCGATCGGTGTTCCCCTAAATTGATTATTCTGTACCATTTGGATAGTAGCAGGATACAATTCGAAAGTATTGGCTTCTATGGCAGGGGTATGTATACTAAGATTGATTTCATCTATCGTAGGGTTAGCATAGTCCTTTAATGGTCTAGACATATCCTAATGTTCATTAGTTTCTTGGTTATTCTGCGGATTATTCGTCATCTCTCCTAAAAGTTATTAAACTCTTTCTTATTTTTGAATTTTATTTACAGTTTTTTCTAGTTTGAAATTGTAAGGTTCAAGTCCAGAAGGCCTTGAACTACAAATATACTAATTAGATACCACTTATTCTAATAAAAAACATGAGATAATTAAAAATAAATAAATAACTCAAATAAATTACTAATTCAAAAACAATACACAATCAACAAATTTTTAAAACATAATATTTTTACTTTTTTGCATGTAAAGAAACAAAAATAATTCAACAAGAAATAGTGAACAATACAGTTTTTCAAATCTTAGATTGAAAAGTTCAACTAAAATTATCTTAATTTAAGTTCATTGTCACTTTTCTGCAACATCACCAAAAACTTGACATGCACCGAGTGCTACAAAGTATAGCCGGATCACACAAGTATACGTGGCGTATCAATAGTACCGGCATTCGAGTCTGGATTATCGATCTCAAAGGAAACGAGATGAAGTCTAACAAAAAAAGTTATAGCCTTCAGTTATCAGTCCTAGCCCAAAATTTTAATTTGATTTAAGTTTGGCAATCTGCCAGAATTGCTCTTCACTGCCTGTGGAGAAGTAAATTTAGAACAGAAGTGAAGTAGAAGCCTAAAAACATCACTAGTTCTTTTCTACTTCGTCTCCTCAATTTTTATATTATCTCCCCCATGATGGCCATGATCTCCCATGATCTGGAAATCTGAACTGCTCCAATTGCAAAATTTATTTTTGGGCACCTAGGTGCCCAGGGACCTGCACCTATGCATCAATCTCTCTATTTGGAAATATCCATCGAGCGCCTAAGCGCACAAGTATGTGTTGTCTAAGCACCTGTGTCACGAAACCTAAGCGCCCTTAGCTGGCGCCACAACACCATGCTATCGGGTTGTGGTTGGATTCTGAACAGGTTCTGGTGTCTAGGCGGTAATGTCTAGATACCTAAGTGCCTAGTAGCTAATTTTGTCTCCAATCTTCATTTAGTTCCACTTTGATTTTTGATTTCCATGACCTGCTGCAACCTACAAAATCAACATAAAAAAACTTCCTTAAATATGCAATTTTCATTAATTAAATTATATAAATGAAAATAACATTATTTTCCAAATTATCAACATATCAATATCTGCTAAGAATAAGGAATACCTTAAACTATTAAAAACTCAATTTAGCAGGGAGTTTGTGACGATTGATTTTGGAGTTCCAATTAAAATTCTTTGCATAAATATTATTCAAAAAATACGAAAAAGGCAAGTTATTTTTAAGTCAAAAAGAGTACAATGAGAAAATTTTTTATGGGTATACTATGCAGAATGTCAAACCTGTTTGTACTCCATTAACTGCGTATTTAGAATCTCATTAGCTTTATATTTAGAATCAGATGATAATATGTGTCTTGAGTTTTATATTCTAGTGTAGTGGGTTCTCTAATGAATGCTATGACATGTTCTCGTCCAAATTTATGATATGTAGTTAGTACAGTTAGCAAATATATGAGTAATTCATGTAAATAACATTGGAAAGTAGTTTAGTGGATCCTCAAGTATCTATGTGGATTAAAATATGCTTGTTTGTGCTTTTGGGAGGACTGCAGATAGAGTCATAGGTTATATTGATTCAGAGTTGTTGGAGATCTGGATAGAAATAAAAAATTACATAGAAGATACGTGTTTACATTGATCGTTGTGTGATAAGATGGAAGTCTACTTGACAGACAACAATGACACTATATACAACAGAAATTGAGTTTATGTAATTACTGAAGTTTGTAAAGAAGTTATCTGGTTGAAATGTCTATTTGAAGAACTCATCGAAGTTTTGAAGATCACCAAACTAATGTGTGGTAGCAGATTGTTTGTTATTTCAATAGAGATTAGATGTTTCATGTGAGAAAACAAACACATTGATGTTCGTTATCACTTTTGTTTCTGAAGTTATTACTTGTGGTCATATTATTGAAAGCAATATTAGTATCCATAATAATTCTGCAAATATGATAACAAAGACAACTCCGAATAGCCATGTTTGAGCATTCCTTAAACTTGTTTTGTATTCATCCTTGAGCATTAGACTTTTGTGGAAGAGATGGAGAAAGTTCTATTATATATATTTAAAAATTCTTGTCAAGGTGGAGAATGCTAAATTTATGGCCCAAATTTTGTGAGTCCCGCATTTCATCTCATAAAAACATTATGATCACGCGGATTGAAGTTTTTAACTAAAATTGTGTGTGAATTAAACTTCAGAAGAAAAATATGAGCATATGAATTGAAGATTTTGACGGTTTGAATAATCTTATAATAGTTTAAAGATTGCTATCTGTATATTATTTTGTTGACTCCTTTTAATTATTTCATTTAAATCGTACATGCTAAGACTAAAAATATCCCCATATTATTGTCCAGGGCACTCCATTTTCTTTGCTTAAGCTTTATGTTGGCCAAAATTCTTCACTTATAATTTCAAATTTTATATACTAAAATCTCCTCTTCTCCACGTGGTTTCTCCCAATTTGGATTTACCACATAAAATTTATTTGTTTTATTTTAATTATTTTATTTTTTGTTTCATCAGTTCAATATCAAATTATATTAGTATCAAGGAAATTTTTTATGTCGGCATAAATTAGAGGGATAATGAATTTCAATGATTTGTAGCAGCAAAACCTGCTCGTATAGGAGGCGGAGTTGGGTCTGGATTACAGTAATCTCTCCTGCCTTGCAAGCTACACATTTTAATCTTCCATATTCACCAACAACTCACCATACATTCCACCCTGACTCAGAAACTACTCGAGAGGAGAAGCAGGGCTCAATAATCTAAAGCTCCCACTAGAACTACTCAAGAAATCACTAGTCGACAAAGTCCCACGCCGGTCCGAATAATCGCTCCTAGGCATATCAATCTCCGAGCTATGCGCTACAATAACTTGCAGTCGCTGTAGAAACTCAGGCATTGAAGGAACTGGAAGCGAGACAAAAGAGTGTCTGCTAAGCATCACCGCCAACGAATTCATGCTCGGCCTCTCTATAGGATCTTCCTGTACGCATAGCAATCCTATTTGGATGCATCTCAACACCTCTTCCGGCGGATATTCATTGCCAAGCGTATGATCCACTAGCTGCAGCGCCGTTCCTTGGTTCCAGTGTTGCCAAACCTTCATAACGAATGGTCCATCACGGAGTTAGAACTTATTGCACTAATTAAATACAGTATCCATCAAAGCAGAAGATTTGAAGGCTTACATAGCTTAGAAAATCTAGGTTGTTCCTTGCACTTAAGAAACAACTGCTACTACGGCCTGTGATAATCTCCAGTACAAGCACGCCATAACTGAATACATCAGACTTAGTTGAGAAGAGTCCGCGGAATGCATATTCTGGAGACATATATCCACTGCGGCGTAGTGAGGAAGGAGAAGTAAAGTGTGAGAATTTTTAGAGATTGGATAAATTTGCAAGAGAAAAAAGTGGAGTACTCACTATGTACCAGCGATGCGAGTAGTGTTGCCATCTTGTTCTTCAATGCCGGAAAGTTTTGCGAGTCCAAAGTCTGAGATTTTTGGGTTCATGTCGGCATCAAGCAGGATGTTGCTTGCTTTCACATCTCGATGAATGATTCTGAAACGCGAATCTTCGTGGAGATAAAGAAGGCCACGGCAGATCCCCTCAATGATCTTGTACCGTGTAGGCCAATCCAGTTGTATTTGCCTGTCCGGATCTGCATTTTTTTTTTAGTTTCATTCAATATTAGCTGATTTATTACATAAAAGAAGAGCTAAAATGAATATTGAAATAATTATAAGAAGGGTAAAAAATGATTCGGATCGTCTCCAATTCCCATGAACTTTTTCTAATATAGATGCTTAGTTCATTCCAAAAGGCAGAAAACTATTCAGTAATTCAACATTGTCTTGAGGACTTCGTTGGAATGAACAATAGTTTAATATCAATTGATTGTGAAGTTGGAAAATTGCTCCTTACCAATTCAATTCATTGCCATGGAAATTGAATAGAATCCGATTATATAAACAATATTGATCATTCGTAACTTTCAAATTAATGACATGAGAATAACAAATTGTTTTACTCCGTCTCTCTCTCTCTCACACACACACACATAATATTTATTTATTATTTATTTTTAAAGGAATGGCCTAGGCTACTATACGAGCCTCTAATCACTCCTAATGTGCCTAACAATTCGGGTTTCACCTTCTTTAACGCCCACTGTGTCAGAGGGGATTCGAACCCCCAACCTGAAGGATTTTATACCATGGATGTCAACCAGTGGGCCGGAGTACGCGGCACACACACACACACACACACACCAGAAAGAGTTACAATCGCTCACCAGAAATCAAACAATGAAAATAAAAATAGAGGAGGAATCCATTACGGATTTCTTAAATACGGCTTAATGAGTTACAATCGGAGCAATAGCTCAGCACTTGAAGAAAGAATCCTTCAAAAGCCATCTTTCTCATTATGGATCAATATAACTAAAGCTAAATATAAGAGTTACATCCAACTATTAAGACTAATGACAGAAGACTGAACCAAGTTATGCACGATGACGACTATCATTAGAGGGTTATTCATTAAAGGAAAAAAAACAAATCAAAAAAGAACTTCAAGCTAGATGAATTAAGTAGGGAGTATATAGAAGGAGGTCAACGTAAAAGCATTGGAGATTCTAACCAGAGTTAAATGTTACATTGTACTTTCGGAACTGTAGTAAAGACACAAATTACTTAATTTGTGAGATAGAAATTAAATACAGTCAATAAGCTTGTAAAATTGAATGAGAACATGTTGTTGATATAGTACTCACAAAACTAAGGTTAAGGACGAATTAAATGAAATATAAAGAAGTTGTTTTGTCGACCTCAAATTTTTTAATGACAACAAAGAATAATTTTAAAAAATGTGTAAAATGTACTTTTCATATGTCATTTGCTTGTCATTTCAAAATTTTTATATTAAATTAGAAAAAAAAATTAAAATATTTTACGTACGATAACATGCCACTTTAAAACTAATGACATATATGGATCTCCATGATTGAAGGCTACATTTTTAAATGGATGGATCTCCAATAACTTTTGAGAAAAGTTACTAAAGGGTACATTTTTTAAGATAGATTTTCTGTTTAGCAGCTGATTAAAAAAAAGACCTATTCCAAATACAAATTATGAAAGACCTCAAAGTTCCTTGATAAAAAAAATGTATTTTAAAAAAAAAATTAAGGATTTTTAATTTTTAATTTTCTGTTGAAGAATTTAGAATTGACTATTTAGAAATCACTGTTTATACAGTTTTAATGAAATATTTTAATCAATTTTATAGGATTTTTTTATAGTAATTAATATCCTTAAGTTTCTTAGGTAATACTAATTGTGGTTGAGAGATCAATCATAATTATTATTACAAGCTCTATAGCTCAACATTCATTGTACTAATTATAAAATATGGACTTGAATTAGAAGAATTTAAGAAACTCTAATGTGGTTTGTTTGCTAATTCTGCCCCACTTATGGTGTGCTTATCTCAAGCTCCTTTGGCATTTTTTTTTGTTAGAAAATTTATGGTGGTAGAATGAAAAATTACATTCTAGTTTTACACAAAAATCTTGTAGATAGATAAATTAAAGAAAATAATAATAAACAAGATAAAAAAAATATTTAAGAGATAATTTCACAAGTAAGAAAATCTTGGGGCCATGTTTAAGAGAAATAATCCACTTTCTTCGTTGAAATACAAACGTAGATTCTTCTCATTAATTGGTGAACATGAGATTATAAAATAATGTACTACGCTGCAATGTGTTCTCTTGTTACTATCATGAAAAAGTGTAATGTTAAAAGACATTTGTGTTAGTTAGGTGATAGGTGTAAAAATATGATGGTTGGATGACAATGATCAAGAAAAGATGCTTAGATAATGAAGATTAACTGATGATTGTGGTCAAACAATGATTCCTTCAGTAACGAAAATAGGATGAAAGCACTAACGTGATAACAACCATATGACAGCGTTTGGGCGATAACAGTCAGATTAACGACTGTGGCCAAATGTTGTCGATGGAGCAATGTGTTGTGGGTCTCTTCCACGTGAATGTTTGCACTATGAATTTTGGGGAAACCAAAGATTGATTTCATTTTATGAAAAAAATGGGGATATTTTAACATTGAATTCCCTATTTATTTGTCCCTCCCTCCCTCCCTTCCACTCAGCATGGGTCACGAACACAGTCGACATTGAAAGGAAACATATCCGGAGGAAGAACAAAGAAGTTCAAGAACCAAATCGGTCTCTCGATCAATGAAATTTGGACGACAGAGAACTAAAGGCCAACTGATCTTCTTATTTTACAATTCGCATCTTCTATTTTTAAATTCGGTGAGATTACCAAACTCTTATGTTTATAAAATTTATGTAGACTACTGACTCAGTGTTGATTGAATATTGGTTTCCTCTAGTAGTGTTCTGGAGAAGAATATTATATACCCATTAAGTTGATTAGTAGACATGTTTAAGTGGTCTACGAGACTCATAGCTTTTATTCTTATTGAGGGGTTTCCATTCTAAAAATTTGGTGTTGTTTATTCTCGGTATTTGTTCGTACAATTTCATTGTATGTGTGCTCATGGTGTAGTGTCTTTTTGGCTTGCTTATCCAACATGATGGTAGCCAAATGATGATGATCAAGCAAAGCTCTAAAGTTCTTCAGATTCCTTCATTTGCAAAAAACTTCATTGGACGACAGTGTTAATTTCTATAATTATAAAAAATCATTTTAATATTTTTTGTTTTAATGGTAGTGAAGTTCAATGATTTTGGACTTATTTTATTTTTCTCGTCGAGCGTTTGATTTAATTAAAAATATGTAAGATTTGGAGACAATTTAATTCGTCAATTAATTTTATAAAAATTCCATCAATATTTTAGGTGCTTAACTTAAATTGAAACACTTTTTGACATTGTTGGATTCTCGAACTCTAGACTTTCAATTCAACCATAAACTTGTTAGCATTACAATTTGAATGACATTGAATTTAAATATGGAAGTTATATTATAAAAAAAAAAACACCAAGATTCGTGTCTAATCAAGAGGATAATTTAGTAAGTATATAACATACTATCTTTAAAAAAATAAAAAAAATAAAGGTTATCGGAAGTGTGAAAAAAAAGAGACCATGATAGAGAAAAAAAATGAAATTACTCTCTCTTTAACATTTTCTTACTATGTATAATTATCTTGGCATGTTAAAAGTGTTGGCGCGTATGAAGCTTGAAAATCAAAATTTTGGCTCTTATCTATTACAATCCAAACAAAATTCTTGGCTAGTTGAGCCCATATCAATTTTGATTAACGCTTTGATCAAATTAGCACACGATCAGATCAAATACGAAAATTGTATTTGCTTATTTATATCAAGGCAAAAGTATTGTTAAAAACATAAAAAAAAATTGAAGAAATATGCTATGATATAAGAAGTATGCATTCAGGAGAATCGAGACAAAAGCACCAGCTTGGCAAATAAGAAATAGATAAACTATTAATAATAAGTGAGACAGATGTTGCTTTTAATATATGGTATTAATAGGAAAGGATAAATTTTCTATGCATTAATTGAATCGAACATGAAAACTAAAATACTTTGAGAACAGCCCTTCAAATATTCAACTATAATATGGGACCAGTGTTACCCATAATTGCGTAAACAATATTAATATACCATGCAAAAGGATTAAAACAAAATGAAATCTTTCATAAGAAAATGTAACTTATTGATCCCGTTCGAACATTTGACTTATCCTTTTGATGTGGTAATATAGGAAATTATGATTGAAGCTCTTAAAAATAATTAAAAGAGGGCGCTAACGACAACTTTAAAGGAAATACTGCCAAAGATTAATGCTTAAAGAAAAAAAGGCTATGGACAACACTGCCGCAAAGAACAGCAAGTTGAAATTAAATATAAAATTTTTACCATTAGCTCATCTTAATTTGCATTAGTTTTATTGTTGATTCAAGGCCAGACCATTGACCCATGGCTCAAATTAAATTGAGCCGGCGCACCGTGCCGATAGGCTGAAGCATTTTTCTATTCCAAATAGGAAATTTAGGCATTAATTATAGTATAAAACTTACCGAACAATAATTTGTCCAAACTCTTATTGGGGAGGTATTCGTACACAAGCAGCTTCTCGCCCTCTTCCAAGCAACAACCCACCAATCTGACCAGGTTCTTATGCTGAAGCTTTGCTATGAAAACCACCTCATTTCTCATCTCCAATATCCCCTGCCCTGAGCTCCTTGATAACCTTTTTACTGCTATTTCCTGCCCGCCTCTTAGAACCCCCTGCCCAAAATTAAATCAAAGAAAGACAATCATTATGAAAACAAATTTGTATGACCAAGGAAATCAGCCAGGATCATACCATATAAACGGGTCCAAATCCACCTTCTCCCAGCCTATTAGCTTCAGAAAAATTATTTGTGGCGGATCTAATAGTGGCTAGATCAAGCGACATTATTGCAACACTGCTTAAATCGTCATTTTCTCCATACCCTAAAAATTTAGAAAGGATAAGATTAGATGCTGTTAATGATTATAATAAGTCCATTAACACATAAGAGGAGTATAAAAGAAACATTACTGGGTGACAACACCATTGGCTTCTTCCTCCTTCGTCTTATTAAGAAAATAAAGATTGCCGAGAGAAACAAGAACGCAACTGCTCCAGTGGTCCCAGCAATAATGATATTTTTTGTCTTATTGCTTCTTCGACCTGCAAAGCAATTGATAGAACTGCATAAAATACTGATTAATTTCATTTGGGAGAAAGATGATATAAAGCTGCAAATTAAATTAGTTGCAAAATGCATTTTATAAATTATGTTTTAATTAATGTCTCTAATTCGACGTTCAGAAGAACCCGTCCAGGTAAAGTTAGCAGAAATACCTATATTGCATGCATGATTCTTAATCAGGATGTGATAAATCACGAACTAATCCAGGTAATGTTAGCAGTAATACCTATATTGCATGCATGATTCTTAATCAGGATGTGATAAATCACGAACTAACTATGATAGCCAAAGGAATTCTTTATATCAAGTTAGAATAGAAATTTCTTAAAACCAGATTACCAAATGCCCTGCCAAAAAAATTGTTCATTTCATATAAAAAAGTGAAATCTAATATAAGCTGCAAATTAAATGCTAACAATTCTGTTTTACAGTGTATTTTATTTTCTAGATAAATTCGAAGTACTTAAAAATTCATTATATATTTAATGTAAGCAATCATGATCGATCAACTCACCCGTCCCACTGCCGATCTTACTACCATCCCCGCCATCGGAAAAGGGAGACGGAGTTGGCGTTGGCGTCACCATCGGCTGCGGAAAGAACATATAAGTCTCGAACCTCACGGCGCAGCTCACGGTTTCCACCTCTGCTCCAACCTTCGTCATGACGAGCACCCGCATAGCCCAATTGAGACATTGCAAGCAATCGGAGCTAGAGAGGTCCCTCGTGCACCAGGCCATTCCGTACACATCCCTCTGCGTGGAGCTGTTTGTGGCGAATCTCGACTCGGCCACGGCAGCTGCGTTGGAGACCTCCTGCATCAGCCGCTCTACCCGGCCGGAAAATACTTCGGGATTTGATGGGTTTTCGACTTCGTATCTCCCCTCAAGAGGGGTGAGCATTGGGATGCCGAAGAAGCGATTGTCGGAGTAGCGGAGGAGACAGAAGTCGTTACGGATGGCGGCAGACTTGTTGAGGCCGCAGACACCAGCAATAAGAGTGGAAGATGCGCGGGATAGGCAGGTAGAACAAAGATCTTTGGAAATATCAGGACGGCACTGAGCGAGGCCGAAAATCTGAGAGGAGGAGGAGTTGCCGGCAGCGGCGGTGGAGTAGAGAGACGGTGAGTTGGGGGCGGAGCTGGTGAAGTCAACGAGGATGCGATGGATGTTGGAAGAGTATGGGCTTGAAGAGTTATAGTTGGCACCAAAGCAATAGGTGAGGAGGGTGGTGCTCTGTGAAGAAGCTTTGGTTGAGAGAAAGAAGATGATTTGGAGAGCGGAGAGGAGGACGGAGAAGAGTGACTGCATGGCGGGTATGGATACCGTGGAGGTATTCAGTTGTAACTTAATGTACTCCTTGGCCAAGGAGACATTTTTTTGGGGGAGGACATTTGCAAACGTACCACCCAAATTCGATGTATTTATGTATCTTAAAATATTAATTTTATTTTTTACATTTATACAACATATATCTTTCATGACGCATCAAGAGTATCATAATCTTAAATTTTAAAAAATAGACTACATTTTCTTGAAGAGATAAGGCTACATGTGAGTAAAAATTTAAGTTTAATTGTTATATATGTAAAAACATAAGAATTGAGTGGTATGTATGTAAATATTTCTTTTTTCTTTAATTCCATTATGTTAAATTTCTTATGGTTAAAAAATTTTTAATTATTTAAATTCATCTCATAATTTAATGCATGTGTCTCCGGAGGTGTGTGAATTTAATTAAAATGAAATTAGATTTTATGTGTATTTTGTCGGATTGTAATTCTTAAATCCAAATATATCTTAAACATCATATAAGTAATGTTGAATGTTATCTTATTATGTTCTAATGCATTGGAATGTTACTATGATATTTCTATTTAAATTTTTTTGACAAATAAAATTATAATTTTAACTTCATTTCTAAATAATGAATAACATTTCTAGGTCGAGAGTTATATGAGTTTATCTTATAATGATTGATGAACCCGTACATCATAGTATTGTATGTGCTTGTCGTTAGTAATAAAAAAAGAGAATCGTCGTTATGGTTGGCTCATATCCATTTGGGGTCTACTCAAATGAGTTATCTCTATTGTCGTGCATAGATCATCTATACTCTAGTTTCTCATTTCCATTAAGGTACTGACCAAGATTGAGCAATTTGACATATGAATTTCTTAAAAAAACTCTAGCCATCTAGCAACCTAACGTTATTAAGCCAATATCCTAAAGATATTGTTCAATGTTAAGTCATTCACACAATGACCTGTTCATGCAGTCTTCATTTTTTGTATGTCATTTTTTGTACGAAGGTAATAGTTGCACCTAAGAGTAATTATTTTATCCCAATAGGCAATTCCGCTTCATTTGCATATCAAATCATTCATGAATAGTTAACTATCAACATTAGAATCCAAAACTATAATGTGGGATGCACTTATTATTTCTAACAGATCTAAACTCTCTAATTAACCTAACTAGCCTGCCCAATTTAATAACTAGGTGGCCGATTCAAGATGTTATTTATACAACTTGCATCACCCTAAGAAGGGTTTGTTGATTCTTGAGGCATTGAAGCAATGAGCAACTATCAAGATATTAAAATTTATAATAAGGAGAGGGTAGATAAAGATAGCATATCACTTCTTCTTTTTTCTTCTTATAACACATCGTACATCATATAGTTCAACAAAATGCAACAACTTAAAATTGATCTCTCTTTCTTTGCTACAGCGAAATAAGTGTTATTCATTAACTTATTTCTCTCTAGCTTCATTGCAATGAATTATGCTAACTCAATAATTTTATTAATGAACTCATTTAACTTATAAGAAACACATAGGTTGATTTTTTAATTATAATATCATTGGTAAGCTTATTGAAATATATTTTCTTTAATTTAATGAAAAGAAAAAATGATAAATCATCTTATCCATAAATTTTCTATTATCACCCTTAATTTCCTCAAAATTAGCCTCTACAAAAAGTGAAGGGGAATCCTCATAACAAGAGGATTTTCTTAACTATGGGCTCAATTTGTTGAGCTCTTTAGAAAGATAAATGCTCTGTCATGATTTTTCTTCTATTTCTTTGCACCTATGCCCACTATCTCCAACGATAACACAATTTTTATGGCTTACTGCAACTTAAGAGTTTGCCTTGATTGCCTCTAATGAGATAATTAGTCATGTTGTCATAATTAGTGAAACATTTCTCACAATCGATTGGAGCCAAAATTATAACATCGAAGAAATCTCTTGTAATATCATGCATTTCGAACACAAAATTGGTTCCTTATTCTTCTCTAAATAACTATTGGACAAAATTTCTTCCACAAGTTCAATCATTTATTGCTTGAAAAGTTTAAACTAAGCAAGTAAAATAATGACTCTAATATTGATAATTGCAACACTCTATTATTTTACTTATGCTACAACTTTAAAGGATACAACTCAAGATAATTGACTAGAGAAAAATGTGTTGAGATTTTCATACCTATTTTATACTATTTTTGATGATATTGCACTTTAAAGAAAGATATTTTTGATGTTTTGTTGCAGGAATGATGAATTAGGGTCATTGTAGCAAAAAGATGCAAAAAGGAGCGAATTTTGAACGAAAAAGATCAAAATGTGAAGAATTGAACTAGGGCGCCTGACCAAAGTAAAATATGTTGAGATTTTCGTACCTCTTTTATACTGTTTTTAATGATATTGCACTTTAAAGAAATGTATTTTTGATGTTTTGTTGCA